TTGCACAAAAAATTATTGACCATAGTAAAATTTCGATGAAGTCTTCTTTCATCATAGATGAACAACCTAATAGTTTTAATACTCATACGGTTGGTAAGATCGAAGATGTTGGGACACTTAGAAACACTATCAAATATCCAAGTGGTTTGACCCTCTCGTATGATAAAACAAACCTTGGTGTTCTAGAGTTACCACCTACAGATACCGGTGGTAAATCTAGTGTAGACATGAAATTTGATTCAGCATTCAAGGTTACCAATATTGAGGGCCTTGTGAAGTTTTCTGGAGATCTCTTAAAAGAATCTAAAGTTACATTTACGATTAGTGCTAATGATCTAGTAGTGGACACAGAAGATTTTAATATAACAGTAGCTAATCTCAGCATGAGCAAGGAAATCACTATTGATGGATTCGGTGGTTTACAAGACGTAACAATCAGTGACATTGATCTAGCTAATCACAATGCTATTGGAATAAAAGCTAAAATGAAAAACCCTTCAAATGTTGGTATGAATATGGGAGTAGTGAACTTCACCTTAACAGCAATCACAAGTCACTTAACAGAGAAAACAGGACTTATCGGACCATTAGTTGCTAATAATCTTACAATGCAATCTAAAACGACAAATGAAGTTGACTTTATACTTAGTCCAACTAATTTCGCAAACCTTTTTCAATTGATATCTTGTGGAGGATCTATACTTATTCAAGGAGTTTCAGTTAAACCGAGTACTGGAGCTAATGTTCCATGGCTGAATATACCGATTCAGAACTATAAAGTTATTAAGCCTTTCCCCCCACTTTTGCCACATGAAGTAAATTCATTACTCCAATCAATACCAGCAGGAGAAATTGATTCAAGCCATGTCTGCTCCAACACATCCAAAACCACAGACACACCGAAAGGAACAGCGACAAACGCACCGAAAAAAACAGATCCACCGAAAGCTAAAGAATCAAATCCACCGAAAGCGAAAGAATCAAATCCACCGAAAGCGAAAGAATCAGATGCACCGAAAGCGAAAAAATCAGATGCACCGAAAAAACCAGATGCACCGAAAAAAACAGAAGCACCGAAAGAACCAAAAGAACCAAACGAACCGAAAGAATCAAAAGAATCAAAAGAACCAAAAGAAAGTTAAAAGAAAAAGAGTAATCTTTTTTTTTTTTTATTAAATAATTTGGGCGGGACCTTTAGAACAATTTAAAAAGATTTTCTTGCTTATAGCGAGTGATGGATCAGTATGAATTTTTTCATAGATATATTAGACCTTTAATATTTTGACGAATATATGTCAATAGGACAATATCTGGCATAACGCTTATTGCTTTTTAGTTTACTTTTATCACATGAGAATGACGAACAGTACAAACAGTCTTCTAGCACGCGTATATTTTTCTTTAATTTTTTAGTGACACTTATTTTTATAAGATGCAGAGCATTTCAAATGGAATGATCAACATTTATTTCTTTTTTCTTTTTTAACGATATTCTCAAATTTTATTCTTAACTCATTATTCTTCTTTTTATACGTAAAAGTAATATAATTTTTATTATATAACATAAGAATTTCATGTGATAATGTGTAATTTTAATTATAACGATTATTAGTAATAAAACTTTCATAAATTAAGACGAATTTTAAATATCGTCAAATTTACTCTTCAAAGGTTTTCAAGATGAACAAAATTCTTCCTAGATTATTATCAGTTCGTGATCTAGTAAAGATGTATAATTTAACTGCACAATCTCAATTGAGTCAAAATTTTATTTTGGATAAAAATATTACAGGTAAAATATTATATAATTTCAAATCGAAAAAATATATATATCTATGTATGCGAAAAATTATAAAGAACTATATCTCTTATTGAAAAGATAAGATCGTTAAAAATGCGATGATTGATTCTAATAATCTACTTGTTGTTGAAGTTGGCCCAGGTAGTATAATTTTATGCTTATCCTTTTTTTTCAATTAGAAATTTATACTAAATTAAATAAACCTTATTTCAAGGACCTGGTTTATTAACAAGATCAATATTAGAAACGGGTGTGCCAAATATGATTGTCATAGAAAAAGATGATCGTTTTTTACCCGCTCTCACGGTAAAACAATCATTATTAGTATTGTTATTTTATTTATTTGATG